GAACTTTAATTAGCATCAGATGTAAATTATCCTCAGTTTCTCTGATCATTAACAGGTCTAACAATCAGCAGAGGTCAAAGGTCAGACACTTTATTCTTCCTTCTTCTCGCAGACTTCCACATAAATTCCACCTGATCTGTTTTCATATCAAAGGAATGCTTTAAATGCGCCCTTCAAACATAACTGAGCAAATATCAGCTCATATTTACTGATATCGTTAATGTGACGCTGTGTGTGCTTTAAGGCCGGTCCGTCGTCGGGTGTGTACTCGTTCTCTCAGCTCAGCGGCGACTCGAGCTGCGGTTGAATCATCCTGACCGACTCCTGTTACACAAACAGTGAAGCAGATGCCGGAGGTGGGTCGAACGCCGTGTTCAGATTAGAAAAAACTGCATTTAGCGCAGTTATTTCACTGTAACAAAGGAAACGAGGCGCAAACAGCCAAGCTAACACGTATCCACCTCACTGATTATCACTGTTAAATGTTGCAGTGACAAAACATCAGTTAAATGTTCCAACAGGTGGGGCCGTTTTTTATTCTGCGCAGGGGGAACTTCCTGTTGTCTCCAATGCCTGACAGCTACTTTGTACCCACCCTGTTAATAATAAGTCACACTTTTCACCCCTGAAGACAAATTCCTGCACAGAGGACAGAGCTGCGACTCAAATACGCAGACACATCGTAGTCCATCAAACTTGAGACTGAACTTAAAGTGAAGTAAGGCCACAGAGCAGGCGAACCATGAAGAGATTAGAACAAATGAATGAAAACAGGAAGCATCATCACCATGTGCGATGATGATCAGAGCTGTGGTGAAAGGTTTGGGCGGAGCTGCTCTTTTTAAGATTTCTTCTCTTGTCTCAGTTGTTTGGAGACGGAGTTCCACGTATGAAGGAGACGACTGCCTTTCTGTTTATTTTCTTTTTGTTTTTGCAAAGAAAGCGAGCCTATAGCGTCCACAAAAGCGAGCCGCTGTCCCAGCAGGTCACCTGATCTCAAGGTCAGCCCACATCACCTGATGGCTCAGGCAACACCCTTGTCCACATCCTGATGGGTGACCAATTTAAGCTGCTTTATCCTGCCGGGCTACAGTTTCTGCACATTTGCAAGCCCCTTTGCCTTCCAGCGAAGCCTCTTCTGTTCTGCACGAGGAGGTGGTGCTGTCGCTCCACCTGCTCCATCTTTCTATGCACGAGCCCGGCGAGGTCCCAGAAAAATGCCAAACAAGTCGAAAAAGAATAAAAAGCCACGAAGAGGCGAAAAACAAGTAAAAGAGACATTAAGAGTCCATAAAGAGACCCTAAATAGTTCTGACAAAGTGCAAAACAGCAACATTGTATTGATAAAAGACAACGAAGCCACAACAGTTGGCCTCAAACCCCAAATTACAGCCTTTTGTTTCAGCCTGTTCCTCATCGAACAGGGTGGGGTCTGCAGCTGGGGGCCTCATCATCTGTCTCCGGTTTTCTGGTGTGAATACCA